GTGTGTGTGTGTGTGTGTGTGCAGCGCGTGCGGATTGTGCGTGATTAGTACGCCGCGAAGCAAACGTATTTCATGCCTTCTTCTTGCAGCGTTGGACTGACCCGGCCGCGTACCCCTTTCTCAGAATTCCGCCCCAGAATCGTTTTAAGAATTATCAATGATTTCGCGGGCCAGTGGTGGGGAGAAAGCGGGGAAAAGATAGGAGGGGTGAAGACAAAAGGTGACGTGGTTCGTGTTCGGGCTGCCGAGCTACCCAGCTCGTGCCGCCGGCACAGAGTGCGAACCAAAGTATAAAGCACACTCTCCATCCTCTCAAACAACGTCGTCGTTGACGACGAGGTGAGGAAATTAAGCTGTACCCAGTCGAATTTGCTATTATAGCTTGGGCGCAGGTGGGTGAGCGCGGGCGGGCGGGCGCCGCCCGTGAGGTAGGCCACACCAGCGCGCTCGAGCCGGCTGGCTGCCTACCACCGCCCCTGGACCAACTGCATCTCATCACAGAGATCTTCGCAGTGATGGGCTACCTGGTAACGAGCGCCGCGCCGCCCCCTTTTTTATTTCCCCCTTTATTTTAGAGCAGCCCCCGATGAGGGAGTTATTGTCTGGTCATGCGAACTCAGATGTGAATGACGAGACAAGGCGTCGGCGGCGGCCCCCATTGTCTGAGTCGAAACAAAAAGCAGACGCAGCGCGGCAAACAAATTAAAGTTAAGAACGAGCTCCGCGAGCGGCACAAGACAAGGGCCACGGGGCGGGCCTTGCAGGGGGCGCTGAGCACGACGCACACCTGCAGGGCCGAGCGGCTCGCCGAGCGGGCAGTAGGGGGCTGTGCTGGGCCGGGCTTGCTTGTTGAGCTTCCCGGTCCACAACATCGCCCCCTTTCTCCCGCCCTGCTTCCTCCACTTCTTTTCTTTTCTCGTTGCGCAATGTAACCCAATAATCCCACGCGCCTCCTTGCCTTGCCCGACACAGAGAAACGCCGGCGTTATCTTTTACTCTAGAAAGGCACTTTGTCCCGTCCACCAGAACCGGATGTCTCTTTACCGGGAAATTTCAGTTTTCAGTCTGTGAAGATGCTTATCGCGTCTTTTCCTCGGTCGGCTAGGCAGGACCTGGCTGTTGCTGCCTTGTTTCCGCTCGAAGGAAAAGCAAAAGAAGCAGACCCGGCCCCGTGTGTGTCTCACCCAGCGTCTCTTGTTAGACCCTTCTCCCCTCACCGAGTGGCGCCCCCTGCTCCGCTCTGCATGCTCGTGCCCTATAGCGCAGGGTTGGCAAACTTTATTGAATTAAATTTTAGTATTACGCACTTTCCTGTGCAAAATATTTTATCGATTTAAACATTTAGCCTCCGTGCATAATTCATTTCGCCCTTTTCAATTTGCCCTCAATGGGTAATAAAGTGCAAAATGTTTTTGCTCCTGGGCAATATTTTCAGAAAAACACATTTTTGCTCCCGTGCACCGGGTTATATTTTCGC